TTTTAAATTTAAAAAACACCGGGTTTTTTTTGTTTTAAAAAAGGGGTATAAAAAGAAAGTTTTTTTTGAACCATTGGGAGGTATTGGGGATCTTAACTTAAACCCCCCCATTTTATTTTTTTAAATTTTAGTTTTGAAAAAGTAAACCTTAATTCCAATTAATTTTTTTGTTTTTTTTTTTTAATTTTAAAAGTTTTTTTTTTGAAGTTTTTTGATTAAATTTTAATTCCCCTTTTCCCCTTTAAATAAATTTTTTAAAATTTATTTTAAAAAGGGGTTTTTTTCCATTTCTTTTTCCCCCCCCCCCCCAAAAAAAAAAAAAAGGGTTTAAACCTACAAATTTTTGAAAAAAAGGGGGGGGTCGAAAAATAAAATTAACGGGGGGGTCAAAATTTAAAAAAAATTCTCGGGGGCCCTTTTTTAAAAAATAAAAGGGGGGAAAGAAAAACCCCAAATTTTTTTTTTTAATAATTTAAAACCCCCCCCCCCCCGGGTTTGTTTGGCCCCCGCAAAAAAGTTTTTAAGAATTAAAACGGCGGGGTCGCAGGACGAAATCATGCTTATTATTGCAGGTGCGGGCGAAGTTTAATAAATAAAACTTCACCGCGCGCCCCCGCTAATTAGCGTGCTTTCGACCCGCGACCCCGCCGTTTTAACTTGTTAATTCTCGACTTTTTGCCTGGTGGGGTCAATGGGCGAAAACACGAATGACACAAATCAGCCACCATATAAAACGATGGGTTCACGTTGATTTTATTTTTGGTTTACTTAAAACTGTTTGATTACTTTCTGCATGAAAAAGAACATAACAAACATCTTATATGTGAATTAACTTAACACATTCAAATCTAATCTATCTATTAATTGATGTATAAACCATAGTTTCACGTTGTTATTCATATTAGAAATTGATATAGCACCAAAACTGTAAATGTTATATTGCTGGCTTAATTGGTGGAAGAAGACCTCAGGTGCCCCTTCGTGCATCATTGCAGGCAGAAATGGGCATCGAGCAGAACCACAGACGTAAATAAGCTAGCTGGATAGCTTCCTTACAGGCCCGGGTTTGGTTTGCTATACTCTCGATTATTTTCGATACCGTACCATGTTTCGCACATTATGTGTCCTGTTGACATTCATAGCAATTCACTGATGTTAGAATTCAGCCAGTCACTTACCCGTTAACGTAGCTTTCGTTTAATACACTGAAACTCATTTCAAAATGTATCATAATGTTAGCGCTGAAATTTAGATTATTGAAAATCTGCATTATTTAGTTTATTTTAATTCATTATCAATTTAAATATATGATGATTTGCTTAACATTAAACATTATGTTTATGTAACAAGTGTTGTTCAATTAACTTGTTGTTTGAAACCTTAATCTGATTAATTGTTTATTGAAGAGGCTTTCAGTGTTTACTTATTGCGCAGTTCCTATAGGTTTTATGTTTACATGCAATCTGTTTCTAAATAAGATTCCAGCTTAATGACAGCAAAAACAATCTGGCAGTTATATATGTATTTCAAAAGAGGATGAATAGAAGAATCCTAAAGCACAATGCTTTTTAACATGACGGGACTTGACAAACCTTATATCTTTTGATGTGGGTCTGAACCTATAACTTGAAAATATTTTCATCATTCGGTCACTGCGTTTTGCGGAATAATTATAGAGACTTAAAAAAGTAAAAAGTTCAAACGCTTAAAACTTAAATCCCGCCAGGAATAGAAAAATAACTATTTTCAACTTATTTCTGAGTGTATGTTTTTATTACTGTTTACAGGTTTTCTCGTTTGATAAATGTAAACATTTCATTTTTGTATTCTAGTTCGGTGCAAATATTACTTTATTTTATAATATCCAACATTGTACTAGAAATATATAGTAAAACGTCGATTAATTCTAAGTAAAAACTCCATATACTCACTTAAATTATTTTTTGCACTTTTGTACAAATTGGTTTTGTTAATGTTTTTTCTTAACCGATCACAAGAAGATAGTTTAATATTTTTTTCTGACATCATCAGATAAATATAATTATAAGACAATTATATTGCAAAAAAACAACGATTTACAGTAAGTAAGATAAAACATCGCTTGTTTTATCTATATTTACCCTAATGATGGTGTATTGTATGTTCTTTTGTGTTCTTTTATTTAAACATCATTATGATTTATTTCTGTTTTAAGACATATCGTTATTTTGTTTAAAATAACTTAAATTGATATTTATTTTCAAGAAATCCTTCATTTATTTCTTATAACTTAAGCTATATATCATTGTACCTGTCAACGAAATATTTCTAATTATATAATTTAAATAACGGAATATACTAAATAAATTCTTCAAAGTAATCTTTCTTAATGAGATTTTCATCAAAGAGCAAATGAGGTTTTTCAATGCTGAAAGGCATTCTGTATAAAAGTATGGTGTTAAGATACACATTCCTTTGTATAATGACAGTTTTATATTTAATCTTTGATCTTGATAGTTCAACGATCATTGTGTATTTTTGTTTTTATTTTTTTTAGATCTACTAAGCAAAGATCCATACATACACATATATCACTGAAGAAATCGAAAGCCTGAAATCAATCTCGACCTATATTTTAGATTTATATTTAACACATGAACAGACAAGATCCCTTTTTAAACTTTTAAACTTATTACCTGCCAAACTTTATGAAAGTAGAGTAAGGAAAATGTTAGATATGTGCAGTTTGAAATATACAAATGTGTTTACCAGCACTTTACTGTAAACAGTAGTCAAGATTACACTTTTAATTATTTTATCATTTTCTTTATATTGTCATTTCTAAGTCAAGTTTTAGCGCATATACAGGCGACACATATGTAGTAATTTAGCAGCACTTTGATTACTTGTTTTGTTTAATGGGTTCTGTAATTGTCTGGAATTTCAAAAAAAATCTTATGGTAAAACAAAACAACTCTTCATTGGTTTCTTTGATCGACATAAAATTGATTCGTTTTCTGATGATAACCTTTCTCTTTTGTGTTTTAACATAATGTTACTTGGGAAAGTAAAAAGTGTTAATTATTTCCCGAGACATATGTTCTAACTTATCTGTGACTTCATTTGATAAATTGAGAAAGTGATTTCGCAAAGCGGCATTATATCAACGGAAGCCAATAATAATCATCAAACATTCTTATCTCGGATATCTAGGGAAAAGTCATGCGCCATTTTGCAGGACGAATGAAACAATGTTTATGCATGTTATGTCATAAAATATATTTTTATCTTTCAAATGTTGTGCACTGTGGAAATTTGTAAAGATGCTTTTAAAACGACATGCACAAAGTTTTGCTAGTCAATGAAGTATAATAGAAAAATAGATATAAAGCATCTTAGAGGAGATAATTGATTGACATCTTATATTAACAAATTGAATAACTCCAACGTGCATTTGGTAAGGTACCCGATATTTGTTGCAAACTTTTCATGTTCATTTTTAAAATACCTGGCATCAAAGTTGAACAGCTTTCTATTTATGTAAACTGTGTTTTAAACATCAGTAGTTCAATATCAAGTTATATTCTTTTGTTGATAACTACTCAAATATTCTGATGTTAAAACAATCAAATTCTTCAAAGCATTTTAGAAAGCATTTTTTTTAATACAAACATGCTCGTCAAACTCTATGTCTGGAACAGCATATCAGCACTCAGTTTGCAGTAACTAAAATAGAATATATGTTATCTACATACATCTTTATTCAACTTTTTTATATTTTATAAATATTTCGTTCGAGTGAAAAATTAAATTATTGCTGAACATTCACCGTTGTTAATTTTATCATCTTTTATCAAAAGTTAACGTTGACCTTTTAGTCCTCTACCAGTTCTGTTTACCAACGTCTGTTTTCCGTCTGTCCTTCCACAAATTTATGGGATAATTAATTGTTTGATAAAACTTAGAACATTGACAGAATGAAATATAGAGATTATGCACACTATTTTAATTTGTTTCTGTGTTGAGACATTAGTTGACAATATTTAGACTTGACAAATTTCAAACATAGTGTTATACGTCTGAAACACTATATATATACATTTAAACTTTATACATGTTTGATACTGAACCAATGAATGCTAGTCTCAGTTTCCATAGCTCTGGGGTTTAAATTTACAGAATGAAATATTCTCTTTTTTTCAGGAACATTTTTCCAAACATTTATATTAACTTCTGCAATTAATTCATTTGAATGAGACTATAAAGCCTTATAATGTTTAAATTACTTTACACATGACGTTCAATAACTCTGTTGCTTATATTAACGAATTCGTGCCACTTAACTGTTAAAATATAGCGAATTTGCTTAAACTTTTGAATGTGTTTTTTTTTCATTTCTTCCTTAAAACGTATACATAATCCATACAACTTAAGCAAAATCTTACAGATCAGGCAGCATGGCAAACATAAAAGTCTGATCATCATCATCACAATCGCTGAAATCAGACAATTCATAATTTTGCTTAAGAAAAACACAAGAAGATAATTCAAATATTTCTTCAGCGTTACATTAGATTCAAATATTCTTTGGTTTATAAGTGTATCTAAAAACATTAAGCCGCCAATTCCGTCTTCCGCAAATATTGTAATATCTTGAAATTGTCCATTTTTGTTTCCCTACTAGTTTTAAATGCAAAATTGATCCACTTTCAAAAACGCAAAAACGGCCATGATTGGCTGATTGAATGGTCATGAGAAGGTGACACTTTATTGATTACTGTCAGACTCGAAAGGTATTTAACACACATTCATCAATGATTATCATCAAACCACGCATTGTAGCTATCATATTGGCAATATTTTTCTTAATGTTGATTCTATTTAGTTAAACAATGGATCCTAGAATAAATAAAAATGGCAAAAGGCCCATTTATGTGTCCTAAGAAGATATAAACCTGTAAAGTTCATTTTGCTCTTCCATGCATCCTATCTAATCTACTTGCAGCTTAGGTATGCTTTCATAGCACGTTATCGTGTTTCTGATAAAACACGATGATTTTAACTATGTAGCAAACTGTTTCCAAATAACAACAGCAAGTGTCTGATAAAATTGCAATTGCCTCTTCATTCTTACTGGATTATACCTGGATTATGGAGTGCCTTTCTAGGTAATAATTATATCTTTATTGCTTGTTATCTAATTCAAAAAGAATTTTGTGATCGATATAATAAATAATATCATTTTTGCAATGAATGTTCCTAACAAAGGCATAAAAGATGCATAAAAGATGCAAAAGAATTCATATTATTATTATTTCAAACTAGGCGAGGCAAATCTATAACGAACATTATCTTGAGTTCTAAAGAACGAATTTTATCAAAATAAAATATTCGTTTGACTGACGTTGTAAGGAGTTCTTTTGAAAAGAGAATTCTTGATACAATTTGTTATCGATAATTACTTGGCATATATCTTTTGAAAACAAGATAGTTATGATCTTTGTGTGACTTAATATGGCATACGAATGTTTGGTGCTGTTTATACTAAGCGTTATCGATTCCTTATTTTATATTGTCGTAAGAAAATAACTTGCCATTAAACATGATATTATTTAATGATGTATTAATATGATAATGTGTCAGAATATTTTAAGCATGATTTTTTGTTTAAGCATCGTAAATTAGTCAGTAAGGCATCAGGAGAATTTAGACATTTCTCTCAATTTTAAATGCCTATTAAAGTGTTTCTGTATGTAATTTGATTGATTTAATTTTTTGCAAAGTAACTTAATTTTGTTATGGACTAACTGTTTATATATTTATGAATGAAAATATAACTCATCTAAAACTCGACACCCCTGGTTGTTTTGATTGAATAAATAACGGTAGTATTGGCGGCTCTTCGATTATCTATCAACAACTTGTGGATAGTATTGGATTTCATAACATGCTTAATATTTAACTCCATATTGTGTGCAATACAAGTAAATATATTGCTACTTTGAAAGGAACGAGTATGTGTTTTAGCGTAAATTAATTTAACGTGTCTGTGCTAGGGACAGTAGCCTGTACTTACTATGATCATATTAAACTTCGTGATCTTTTAATAATGTATTTTAAGCGTTTCTGTCCAATAATTTGCAGAAATAATTGGTTCAATAATTTCCCAGGGATATCTCTTTGCGTTACACCATTTAAAAAACAACAGATATTTATTAGCTAGATTTTGTAAATGTGTAATTTTATGTATCAATTTATTGATAAAAAACAGAGCATGCTCTTACCTGTACGATTTCGTCATTTTATAGTGTACTGACGGTATATTTGTATGCATAGCATACTATCGTTGGAACAAGACAAGGTATATGATGGGACTTCAAATGGTATAACAATATACTTTTTGCTTAATTGAATAAGTACTGAAAGTTTATGGTAAAGAATAACATAATCTTAAAAATAAAGTTTGCGATTGTGACGTGACTTCATAAGGTCTTAAAAAGCACGTTAAATATAGATTTGTAATTTTTGATATTTGTTTTTATTTCAGATAGTATTTTGTTTAAAATTACGAACTTTATTAATAAACTTAGAATAACTTGACGTTAAAAACATCTTTAATCATTTAGATATTTGCAGTAAGTATCGGATAGGTTTGAGGTTGAAGACATGTTAGAGTACAGTCAGAATACAGGACCGCGGGAAAAATTCTGACATTCATTTTAATTTTCAATAACTAATTAAGTGTACAAACTCCCTTCTTCGGATTAACGTGTTTTGCGAATGAACTTTAATATTTTTTGAATGTTGACTGCTATGGTAACTTTTACTCGCCTGTAACTTAACTGAGTCTGTTTTAGCATGCTTGCTTTATTAACGCAAATATTGTTATTGATGTACATCATCTTATCTAGCAACAGCTAATGTAATGCTACTTGGTTTCATAATCTGTTTCATATACATTGACTTTGTAATACTACATTATATACACAAAGTAAAAGCATTCGTGCCTTATTGAAGATCATTTGTTTGTATTACCAATCTGTTACAAGCTAGGTAGAAATATTTTTTCCAAGACTTAAATCAATTAAAAAATGTTTTGTGGTTTTACGTTGATTTTGAATTTAAGAAAGTGTTTATTGTATATGTTTATGAAGTATGTTGTAGTATTGACTTAGCAAACCAAAGTATTAATTTGCTAACTTTAAAGCTCTTTATAAACAAGCATATTTCTGTGAGCAGAATTGATCTCATCTTGTAAATGGAACAGATCTGTATGTCTGGGTTGATTTATTTATAACTATAAACATGTTTATATGTTAATGATATTTGTTTATACGTTTCATAACAGCACAAATCAAACTTTCCTCATTAAGAACATTTAGGTGGAAGTTCGTATATAAAACATCTGCCATAATGCCGATTTCTGTGTAGAATATACTTTAACTTTATTTATATTCGGTCAATTTTACATATACAAATAAGTGTTTATAGTTTACAACATAGCAAGACTGATTTGGGCAAAACTTATGTCAATTCTTTCCCTGTTTATGTGAATTTTTTTGTATAAAAATTGAGAAACGGGCTGTTATAATTATTTGATTACAAAATATATAACACATTTTACTTATCTGAGGTAAATAGATATACATACATATAAAAACGCTGAAATATTGTGTAAGATACAATTAAAAATTAATTATGTTAATACTATGTAAGACATGACTTTTCTTTTGTTACATTTTATCATTATAAATTTATTGTTCGTCATTTATACTATTTTCATCGTGTGAATTATAAGTATATTGTCAGTATAAGCATCTTCTACCATGGATTTATCATAACATATTACCTTTCGTAGGTGTCAATCGCCAAATTAAATTTGACTTATATTCCAAGAAAACAGATATATAATCTTCCTATACGAAGAACTAAATCTCCATGTATTTATCTCATTTCTATTTATATAATCTTTTTGCACTGTGCTAGTATGCCATACAGCTTCAAGCTACTACTAAAACTCCTCAAAATGTAAAACCGTTTAGACACACGTTGTACAAAATACATGTTGATAAGAGTTTACTGTGAGTTGGTAAACGGCATTTAATGCTAGCAATGTAATACGCATATCAATAAAATAAATGTTCATTATTGAGATGAATTATTCATGTATTCTATACCCTACATTATTGAGGTGAATTATTCAAGTATTCTATACACAACATTATTGAAATGAATTAATCATATATTCTATACACACCATTATTGAGGTGAATAATCTATTATTCATTAAAAAGGCTCAGTTTTAACTCCTATGATTGTTTGTTGTTGTTGTCTTTTTATTTTATTGTTGTTTTTGTTGTTGATATAGTTGTTGAATCTTTTCATTTTTTTAAACAGTATTTAGTTATATAACTGTAGTTATTATATTTTACTTACTTGAAAGTATTTTAAATTAATAAATATGGGTTCTGTTATCATTTGTCATTATGTGCTTCACCAGTCCTTTATATGGTAGGGATTTAACTTGTGTATAAGTACCTTTTTTTCGATTTTGATAAAATCTACGAAAACGGTGTAATATTGAACAGTTATTGCCTTGATTAAGAGCACCTGTTAATTCAAGATATATTTTGAAGTATATAAAAATGTATAAAGTTAACCATGAAGTTGGTATGCGTATTTCCTGATGCTTTTAGCTGATAGTTCTTCTGAATGATATATTTCATGTTAGAGTTTCTTAGTTAACATATATGTTAACATATATTATTACATTTGTGATAAATATCACTCCTCATATAACATGAATTTCTAATGTGAAATGACTTTTTCCGAAATGGCTGTTTTTACTTTTCATCATGAAAATGAAAATTTATTGTAAGTAAACAAAGTTGTTTTTGTTACAGAAATAATAAAATTATTTTTACGTTTTCATGATATTTCGTATCGTTTTGACGCGATGTATTGTCATAAAAGATATTTCGGGAACTGATAATATTTTATAAATCACGTTTTGCCAGTTATCTTAGACATACGTTATTTCAAACATGTTGTACCTTTTTAAAAATAGATAGAATTAAATAATGTTTAAAAAGATAATACCTCATTTTATAAAATATAGTACTATGATATCACATTGACATACATTTGTGTTTCCGCTTAAAAATATTATCGGAGTATGGCAGGAACTGTGTTGTAATTGCAAATGGTATCAACTTACTACCTTTTGTGTGTAGTCTGAACATGCTCTATAGTGTTGGTAGATTTTGAACGGGTAATTCTTATTCTAAGGCAGGTCAAAACCATTAACGGTTAAGTGTGGCATTAATCTTATTTTGATTTTGATTTTTATATTCGTTTTGATATTTCGTACAGCAGGAAAGTATGCAATTTTAAGCATTTTGTCAGGTATTTGTACAAATGAAACAAACATGTTGACATTGTGCGTGCATTAATATTAAATATTATCTTAGGAAATTATTCAATCCCAGAATCAATTATTTTAAATCTCAATTTTGGCATGTGATAAAAATGTTTTTAAAAATAATATATCATTTTCATTGTAAATTATCAAAACAAGTGGTAAAATATCTATCGAAAGTATCTTAAATATTTAAGATAAATGATCTGTACTTATGCAAGCAGGAATGTGGTATATGTTATCTGAACAAATGACGTTTAAGGTGCGTTAAGGTACTCGTAACTCATCTGTTTTTCAAATGGATAATTTTTAATTGATAAGTTTTAATAATAATTTATTATCCTTTCAATAAACAGCTTATTTTCTACTTATTAAACAGTTATAACTTTTCTTATATCGGTATAATATATCATAAGAGAATAAGATGTAGTTGTCTGATTTTGATAAAGTTAATTTAGCATGTTTGAGTGTAATCAGAATGTAGGCGTAACGTGGGCGTCAGAGAAATTTTGCTCTTCTTTTCGAAATTGCAAATCAAAAAAGAACATGTTTTAGCGTAAACAGTGGCGTAAGGAATAAATATGCAAAATAAACTTTATAGTATTTCATAGTACATTTGCATATATATACATATTTTTGCCAGAAAAGTGCAATAACCCCCATTTGTCTAGCCGGATAAGCAACATGGGTAGAAAAGATATTTTGTATAGATTATTCACAGTAATAATAAACACACGAATGGTTGAACATAGTTCATCCTAAATATATTCTTTCCAAAAATAACACTTGTAATCATTAAATGATTTACGCAAATGTAAATAATGCGTTTACTGAATTTAGACAGTGTTTAAGTATTTACATATACCCTGGTTTATATTGCTGTAGACGGATCGCCATGATTTGAATTTTTTGCAGATCATTAAGTTCTTTAAAACCATTACTATATATAACGCAGATTTAAATTATTACCCATTGAAATATTTTTAAAATGGTAATTTGTTTTCAATAAAAAAAATCGTATCAATAATTGCTTTTACGTTTTAAGTTAAAGACTAAATTTTATATTGTGACAAATAGTTTAATGTCTTCATTCGATCATCTATAAATGTTGGTTTCTTTTTTGAGTGACTTGCAAGTTCCGTACACACAAACAATTTACTTTTAGCATAACTAATTCATTATACACAGAATGACATGTAATGTGCGTTCAAATCATTATAAGGGTCAAATAACGAACATGTTTTAATGAGCCTCGTGTAATTTATAAACACCGTTATGAAAATTTTTATATAAATTCGATGACTCCATATTTCAATTACTAGCTCATTTGATACTTGTCATTCCTTAAATTGTTTGTTTCCGTTTAATCTCGTACGTTTTCCTTCTCATAAATATTTTCTTAGTATAGAATGTATTATTTTACAAATGAATCATAAAACAGATACTTGTTATAAATACAGGTATAGATTATCTATTATGTATAAAATTTATTATTTGATATCACTAATATTTCACATACAGAGTATTTTCCAACATAGTCCGAAAAGTTAAATCCCATTCCTTTCATAATTAGTTTTGTATGCACATAGTAATAATTATAAAATTAATAAATGACATTCCTTTTCGTTGTAAGGTATATAACTGCCATGCACGACATTCACGTGCAGAATTGTTTTCAACTCTTTTTACCTGTTATGAAATCTCGTGCTATACATAGTTGTAGATATGTATTGGTTCGAGATGTAGATAACATTAACAAAAAATTGTGTATATTGAATTATAGCAAATCAACCCCTGCTTGATATTTCATAGTTTAGATGAAGACATGTGTTCGAAATATTGTTTGTTCTCTAATTTTCATTTTCTTAGAAAGGATTCTATCGATATGTTTCTAACCGTTGTACTACTTTAAAAGATAATTATGCAATTCCTCTAGTACCGGAACCATGCATTCCTATTTATATACACATTTCGTTATGATCCCCATACTGTGTTGAAAAATAATTTGGGGGAAAGGAAGGATTCGTTCTTTCCTGTTCTGTTCTAAAAAGATGGGTTAATTTTAGTGTTTATAATTGTTAAAACGGAATCCAGTTATACACTTCAAAATGAAATCTTTCATTAACCTTATTACGTCAAAATAGTTATCGAACTTCCCAAAACAAATCAATACAATTATCACTCACACTGACGTCAAACCTTAATGTCAAAATTATTATCACTTACTCTCACATCATAGAAAAAGTAGGAAGCAGTCCATCATCCTAAAACTATTCTATTTTACGTGTGTTTATTGTGAAGTTAGTATATTTAATTATTCAGAAATGTTTTATTGATTCGTATTACTGAATGTTTATTATTTAAAGGTGCAAATGAAGCATTCAGTGAAGCTGTTCCTCAAACAATGTGTGACTTGTTTTAGGTATATTAACGTTAGGTATTGAAAGGAATTAGTGTTATCATCCACTGAAAAGAGGCAAAGTAATACTTCTTTTTCAAAAACTTAATACCGCTTATCATTTTTGCTAGAATCAGCTATATTTAACCTACACTATCCGTATAGTGTACAAGCAAATAAAAGTAGGTAGGCAGAACTTATCATGAGTTGTGAAGCATGTTTAAATATAAGGCAGAGATAATTATTATATGGTATCTGTTGATTTTAATGCCGGAAAAATGCTTAAAACACGTTCGTTACCTTTATTTTATCTTCTAAAAACTAATTTATTTATATCTTTGTTATCATCCATCTATTAAAAACGTTCTTAGAAAGATTCATCTATATTGCACCTGTTGTTAAAAATATTCTATCGGAATTTTAGTTTTGCTTGATTTTTTACATTTGATTCTTCTTTTAAGTATACATAGTATATAGAAATAATCAATGTTTTGACATAGATACTCACTTTTTGTTGATTTTTTAAATAGAATTATATTGAAAAAAAGTTCAAAAATATTGTTTCCATGATTATTGTTGCTTTATACATTTGTTATTTACACACCATGTCAAATTGAAAAGCAACAACTTTAAGACCCCAATTCAAGGATAAATTCTTGTGTTCCTACTCGATTTTTATTTTTAACAACAACTGCACACAAGGAACACTGTAGGTTGTGAACAACCTTTACGACCATTTAAAAACTAAACACACATTCTTGATGACAGACACATTTCTTAAGAAGCTAAAAGCTATCCAATGTTATTGTTGTTGTTTTGGGGTTTCTTTCACACTTATAAATAATTTGTATTGTTTGAAATACATTTAATTTGAACTATTCATTATGAATTATACCTTCCTTTTAATTTTGAAATCAACTTTTGGTAAAATCCGTTTTTCTATAAAACATCCCTTTATGGGTTTAAACTTACCTATAAAAAACCTGTATCAGGAGGCAAAACTTTGTGCAAAAAGTAAAAAGCGTGTGTGTGTAGCGTTTTCTGAGGGGTATGCTTAAATATTGTGGAAAATTTATTTTGTTTTTGTTTATACGGGATTTTTTAAAAAGATCCATTAAAGGTTTATTTTTTTTAATATTATTTTCATCCCTTAAGCTCTTTTAAGGGAAAAGATTGGGTTTAATATTTGCTATGAAAATTATTTATATCTTTGATTATTCGTTTTTTTTCCTATTTTTTGTCAGAAATTATTTTATTTTTCCTTTTTTCCATTTGTTCGATTATAGTAGCAATATACAAGTTAGTCTTATGGAAAGATTGCTGAGTTTTTTGTGTTTTGTGTTTTAATAGCATTTAGAAACTGACATTTATTCTATTTTTGTATAGAAAAAGAGTAACATGATGCAAAATAATAAAATGTTTTTCTTGATATGTATATTTTAATCATGATTTTGAATATAAGAACTACCCGAGCTTTGTTTAAAGTAAAACATATATATCATAAATATAACGCATTCAAAACAGGAACAGGGAAATAGTAAAACATGTAACAGATAAAAAGCATGAATGAAAAAAATGTTAAATATGCAATTAGCGTGAACTCGATGATGAGTTTCATTTTATGATGGTGTATCTAAGAGAAATAAAGATAATAAAACGTTTTAGAGCAAGATATTATCAAAACTGCTATACCATGTTTAAATTTTCTTGTGTTAATATCAGGTGAATTTTGTTTTATCAAAAACACAAAATGTAGCCGATTTCAATAGATTTAATAGTTTACATTTTATCGTGCTTTAGAAATAAAATTTAACGTATAGCTATTTTTAGTTAAATCATTCAGAGTTTAAGCTTGTATTTTATATCTTTGTACTGTAAGTATTTTCATTAATACACTACATAGTCACATTTACATACTACGTGTAAAAGTTAAGCGACGATGTCAGAATAGCACTTTATATTTTGGTAATTTTTTAAATATGTGATGCCCTTATTTCAATAATATTTATCAAACACTCTTTTCATATACCCCCGGTATTAGTTTTGTTTCTTTATAGTGATATAACTGTTTTAAACGAGACTACAATTGTTTTGTTAATTTTATCATATCTATATTTGTGGACTTTTTACATAAAAATCATAAATGACATATAAACAAGTGATTAGGAACAATATAATATATTCATACTATAGTATCATAATACAGTTTCCCCTGAAAAAAATAGTCAGACCATAAAGACGATTTTTTTCTTTTCTTAACACGACACTGTATCTTTTAACATGCATAAATTTGAGAACCCATTATAGTTTGTGGCAGTATAAAATTTTGAAAGTATATCAGTTTAAAAAAAACAAGGAATGTAAGTCAATAAATATATACAGTAGCTAGAAGCTAGGTAATCAGCTCCATACATATTAATTTCCAGCAAATACATGGGAAATACATATGAATAAATCGTTCTTAATGAATATTACATATAATAACATTTATGTTTGGTTCTGTTATCAAGCATAATTTTAAATGAAAATGTGTTTGTTTTCCTGCTTCATTCACTTGTTCTTCAAAGCCGATTGTATCTGGGAATCATCCATTAGCTTACTTAATAACGTTGGCTTTATAATATCTTCAGTCCATGAAAAGACTTAATCAAATCGAGACTGTTACATTTCTAATGAACCCCATTTGAACATTCTTTAACATTTCTATTTTATCTATGAAATGAGCCTTAAGTTTGTTACTTCCAATCTTGTATGAAGAGTGTATTTATTTGTTGCATTTTCTTGTAGTTAAAACAAGTTTTTACTGGAACATAATCTAGTTATACTTGTTAGATAACTACCGACTGGTAATTGAAATAAAATTAAAACTAATGCTAAACTTTAAACAAGGGTATACAGTAGCGTTTGTATTTTACTCCGATAGTATGAATGAGTGTACTCCTGCTTGAAATTTCCATTTCTTCATGATAGATTACGTCAGCTGAACACCTTTTCAAAATATCTTCATCTCTTTTCAGATCACAGACTAGCTCGGAGGAAAAAATTTACTAAACAAGTGCCTTCAGAGGTGAACAAGAGTGTTAATGAGATTCTTTGGACAACTAATTGAAGAAAAACATAACGTTTAATTTAATTAGCAGATGTCTTACAAGTGATGAACATTCGATTATCCTACAAAATAGTTAAAAGTTGCTAACATGATATTTATAAGCATATGCTTAATTAAGACAACATACTGAATTTATGATGAATTAGTGCTCCTAAGATGATATATCAACAAAGAGAAATTTACGACAGATTAAATGATGTTATTTATAATATAAAAGGATTATCAAAAGGCTTCAATGTTGTAAGTACAAAAGTAATTGACAGCCTCTCTTAGGAACGGAAAATTATTCACTTACAATTGTTAGAATGCAAAATGTTTTATAACAAACTCCACTTAATGGTTGTTTACAATCAAAAATAGATATTGCACTCAAACAGGAACACAATATAATCATCAAGGGAGGCAATGTCTTTCAAGTTGTATTAAAACGACATATAGGCTAGGTAATCTTGGGAATAGTTTTCAGCATTGCAGAACAAACGGTGTATTTATAGATAAAAGTAGTGAATCATGGAATCTAGCTTTACTTACCGAGACTTGATGACAGAAAATCGTGACCTAATTCAACTGAATTTGACAAACATCACTGAAAATGTAGACGAAAACAATATTCTATATGAATATAACTTGAAAGAATTTAAAGCAAAGTTACCGGCAATAATTTACACATCTATTTTAATGCTTATTGGAACACCAGGGAACGTCATTGTGTTGTATGTTTATTTCTTTAAATGGAGGAAGAGTACATCAAGGATGTTTATATTGTTTTTAACCGCACTGGATTTAATCAATTGTATGACAACTTTACCAATGGAAATATACATAATGATATATTCAGTAATTCTTGATAAACCTTGGCTTTGTAAGGTGACGCGATTTTCTACGTATATACTAAATAGCTCGTCAGCGGCTATTCTTGTAGCAATCGCTATTGACAGATTTCGACGGATCTGTCGACCTCATGGACCTCAATTTAGTGCTCAGAGGTCAAAATACATGTGCATAGGCTGTATATTAATTGCCTTGACAATAACTTGGCCGTCTTTACTATTTTATGGAACAAGAACTATTCCGTTAGGAAATGTTAATGGCAAATCATGTTTGTTAGAAAATAGATATGACCGATCAATATATCCAACCATATTTTTCATATTACAGATGGCAAGTACAGTTGCTATATTCACCACATTATCAGTTTTGTATTATTTTGTTGGAATACAAGTATGTAAACATCGAAAGATGCGATTGATACGAAAAGCTGAAACTGCTGCTGCTAAGAGCATGATTGAAAAAGAAAGTTCATCGCCTAGTAAAGATGAAACTCTGCTGCAAGAATCTGATTCAACCGAATTAAAGAGATCACAGATAAGACGGAAGTCTTTAAAAGAAACTAAATCTGACGGTATAGAATTAAAACAATTGGAAGTCCCCCAGCTTAATTTGAGTCATTCATTTAATGAAATTTCTGCTGCTGACACGGTTTCTACTTGTGACGGAAAATGTGAGACTATTGTATCTGTTCCCATCGAGCAACGGAACGGTGGCTCGAGCAAAAAGAGACCACGGACTAGTAAAAAGAAATTTAGAAAGAGGAAAGGGACGTTAAAAGATTCGTTAACGAAAATGAACGGACATTGTATGCACATGAAGATACGTATCGGACGGTCTACTTTAATGTTGTTTCTTATTACCTGTGCATACATAATTAGTTTTCTACCGTTTTATATTATTGCCATTATCCGCCAGACTTACTCAGGTTTCTTGAGTCAATTAGAAGGCACTAGTTATATGACATATAACGTGTTTTTGAGGTCCTACCTTTTATCTAGTGCTATAAATCCTATAATTTATTCATTTTGTAATGCTCAATTTAGAACATTCTGTCTTGATATGTGCCGAAGAAAGCAGGATAGACGAGTAACATTGTAAAAGTGTTTGTAGTATGTACTTGTAAGTTTTGTCTAAATAAAATGCTCAGATATATAAAGTAGTATTTAGTTTGTAGCATGATCCTTTTTTCATTATTTTTTAATAAAATTTTAATTTGCAAAATTGTCATTTAAATATCGTTGTTAATTCACGTATTACAAATTGTTTGTTTAATCAAAAAAGTATTTATTAAAAATAATTGATGCAAATTGTCCTTTAACATTACAATAATAAAAATAAATTTCTACTCAACAATTTCAAAGTAAACAGAATAAGAACTGGTTCAATAACTTATTATCAATCATCATAGATATACCTGTAATCATTACAAAATCAAACGTTTGATCTCATGCCATAGTAAATAAAGTTTTCTCTGATAAAGTTGTATGTGTAATGCAGTTATATATCTTTTGTTCAGATTAAATCCTAGGTTAAAAAGTAACCAAACTAATTCAAAACTATTTAGAAGATAATCTCACCTTACCTCTGTAGATTTATATGGGAACAATTTTAACTCTGAAATATTATATTTTCATGAACATGTATAAGCATTTGCATTATCTACCAATATCAGAATTTCTCTGAATGTAAGAGGAAACTGAATTTGCCCGGAGGGAATATACTTTGTCATTACATTAAATTCACACAAAATAACAGAATCATGTAAAGAGAACAACAACATTTCGTTGCAAATCTTTATGAAGCAAATTAAAATCATATTAATCCTTAAAACAATACTATTTCACTTAAAAACGTACTTAAAGAAAAGTATATATTTTACATACCACATCGCCGACTGAAAGTTTATATAAATATTTGCCCCATAACTTATCATTCAGCCTGAAGGTCAATGTTTCTTGTTCAAAAAGTATGCATCCTATTAACTGTTTTTAGAAGAAAAAGGTTAATTCATCGTAATGCACCTCTTTTTTTCGATTTCGTGTAGATTACATTTATTTACTCTCATTGAACCATCATTATAATGTATGTTTAATAGGTTTTAAATTATGACAATCATGAACAGAAGTATTGATAATTAACATGATGCCAGCATTACAAGAGGGACATTCCAGTAACCGCATATTTACGTTAATTGCACGCATAACTTCCCATTATAAAATGTAAATTATGCATTTTAATTAGGAAATACGACTTTTATGAATAAAACACGGTGCATCGTTAATGTTAAATGGAGTATGGTATCTTTTACTCAATATAATTAATGTCAATAATGTTAAATTTGTTACTTTTATGATAACAAATACAATTCGATGCATTTGTCTAAATTCTTGAAGATTAAAAAGAACTTTGTTGCCTTAGTTCTTCATTGCGTAAAATTGTACTTGTAATATATAAACATGAATTTAATCTGAAATGGCAAACGACATGGTTTTATAAAAAAAATTGCGAACACATAACTATTTTATTTTAGTCGTAAGATTATAAGAAAATCAAATTCTTCTCTTTATTTACTAAGATAGTAAGGAAATATTTAATACGAATATGTATAAGGTTATAAAAATACTATTTGACCTGTCGCATATTACTCTTAAGACATAATATGCAAAATGCGATATGGCCAGAATTTATCTTTTTTTATCTATTCGTGTGTTCTGGAAATATAGTGTATTGTATCAATATCTGTTTTGGCATCAAGTGGTGTCAATGCTTTTGATTATTTTCAAAATGATTATATTCTCTTGTGTTGGTCATACGTGTATTTTGTTTTCACGTTATAAATCCTTATGTTAAAAACCTGTTGTTTTTCCATCTCTTCTGTTGTGTTATATTTTGCAGCAAATAGATTCTTAAATTTTGTCTGTCATAGAGTACACAAACTTTAAAGTAGTGGTTAGTTTTATTAGCGTGACAGAAATAAAATAAAGAATATTTTCTTACTTCTATATATAACAAATAGATTTGTAGAAAATGAAAACAACACATTGTTGGCATAGACCAGTAGTCTGTAATAAACATAAATTGTCAATTTTATGTTAACAATGGGATTTGATATTCGACAAAGTACATTAAACCTACAGAAGTTTATCTTGTCATGCAATCGATTTACCACTGGAATCATCAATTATTGGTGTCTCGTGAGATTAAAATGTTGTCATAAACTGAGAAAATGTGTTTTATTTCCTTCATAGTTTAAAATCGAATCGAAAGGGCCGTTAAAGAATTTTGAAAATAAGGACTTGCAAATTTCATTACAAGGAAGTATTTAAATAGTTTATCTTTCTTGTGTTAAGTAATAAAATGTATCAATGATAACAATATGTAATCATTGTAAAATATTGATTTTAAGAATTGTCTATACGTTCATGGTATTCTGTCGTTTTTCTAACTTAAAATTCCAAAATAAAAACCCATTTTATATCATTTAAATGCTGATAAACGTAACATGATTAACACGATGCAATGGCAATGGAACACCTTGATCATCACATTGTCTCTTTAAACAAGCTTAAATCAACCAGAGTGTGCAATTTCTGTCTCCTTTATCCAATTATTATTAACGTTTTAAGAATGAGGTTCAGGGGAAACATATAGTTTTTTATTTATAAAACAGAAGTTTGAATATCTGAAGAGTGCTTTACTAACTTATGTATTTGAATGGTAAAATCGGAAATCTACAGCCCCTTTAATTTTAATCTTTAAATATATCAATTTGTTTTACAAGAACAAGATCAAGTGTTGAATTATATAAGTAGTTTCAGATAAACATGAAAATAGGTGAGACAGCTTCTACATTATAATTGACATATTCTAGTTATTAAAACAATTACATAATTAATGTTTATTATTTCAATAAAGAGTCATGAATCAAAATAATAGACTCTTATATAACCATCAAAATGTCTTGTGTGTAAGTACACGAATATTCAATTATAGTAAAAATGTGAGTAATAGAATTTCGAAAAACAGACTGTGTAAACCATATTTCTGTCATAACGTAATGAGATAAAATAAAACTAAAGTTACAATACAAACGATTATGACTTTCTTCTTCATTATTTTTTATATATAAGCACACAAATTTAAAAGTATAGAAACTATAGTAACTTCATAACAAATCAAAAAGATTATGCATTTAGTTTGTTCGAGTACAAGCACTTGTTGTCTCCTTAACATTGAGGGAAAATTATATTAATATGGTGTAATGAGTACATTTCTTTGATATGGACGATTAAATCATTAATGATTTCTCTTTTTTTCTATGTTATCAAAGAAAAACACATCCATTTGTTGTAACTGATATTGTTGAAATCTTGTAAGCATTTAGAAGATTGAAAAATACATTCATTTTATATAATTTTCTCATTTAATTTCGCTTTGTGATGTATTTTCTTTCAATTGATTTTGATAACATGTTGGGACGAGAGATTTTGATTAGAATTAATATTACTATAAAGCGTAACAAATTATATCCATAAAGATTTACAAATAAGGCAAACATCAAGAATGGACGACAATCTTCAAATATTCTGAAAATTTAACTCACTCTAACATTTTGTTTCTGATGTCAATCGATTTCGTCAAAGACATTATACATCCGATAGCTGTTTTGAACCGATGAGTAATTGACAGAATTGAAATTTTGTGAAATATTTGAAAAATATATTTAAAGTGACATTTTGTCATTGTCAAGTTGTACTAAATTGGCTATACTCGTATATTTCAAAATATTGACCTCATAATGATGATTGACAAACATTTGATATTTACAAAGGGTAACGATAAAAAATAAATCTTCCTTCAATTTAAAAATACTGTCCCATTTTTATAATTAAAATTAAACATTACAGTTAAATTCTGCTTGCAATTCATAGAAATTTCCTTGGGGCCACTTGCATTATGTATTGTTAATGCAAAGTCAATTATAAAAGTGAAAGGAATTATGGTAAAATGTAAACTTAGTTTGACTTTCACCTGTTCACTCACTATATACCGTTGGATGGGCATAACGGCACTTAAACTTACTATTATTGTACCTGCCGACGATATATTTCTGATTATGAAATCGTAAGATCATATTTCATTAACACAATATATTCAATGAATTCTTCAAAAGAATCTTATTTGGATTTGCATCAAAGACCGAATGAAGTTTTTACAATGATCAAAGGCATGTATGCATAATTATATGAAGTTCAGATGCATTCCTGAATTCATTTGCTGTTTCATTATTTTGTATAAAGTCATATTCATTTTTTAATCTCAGAGTTTTGTAATTCAATGATTATTCTTGTTTTGCTTTAAATGTGATTAACCAAGTAATTATCCATATCAAAAGAGGATATAGACACTCGTTTTTTATGTTTTAAATGATGGAAACTTCAACGTTTATAAATGATCAAAATACTAAAAAAAGTTTGCTTTAAAATTGATTTGGTGATTTCCAATACGAAACTGAACTGTTTAATTCAAAGTTCGTTCATTGAACACCTTTCCTTGTTGATCTTGTTTATCATGTTTGATAATGTTGAATATTGTACACACATATCAATTAAACAATAAAACATTTTAAATGATTCTTCATAATTTCTCATCAGCATATGCGTTAAAAGACGAAAAGCATGTGATTTATGTTGACAAAAACTAACTCGGTACTTTTCAATCTTTATGACAGTAGTGTATAAGTAAATGTTTGATATGTGCAGTAAGAAATAAACAAAAGTGCTGAACATTTTACCTGCACTATACAGTACAATCGTACTTGATTTCATATTTTGTCTTATCATAGTAACATTATCTTGATTTCTATGTCGGTTTCTACATGCACAGACGGCACGAGTGGTTATTCAGCAGCACCTTTTGGTCATGTTTTTGTATAATTCATTTAGTTGTCTATAGCGTTTTATAGAAATCTTACAGTAAAACAAAACCACTATCCTTTGATTTCTTTGATGTAAATGAGACACGACATTAAGTTGTTTTGTTTTGTAATAATAACGTTTTTCTTATGTGTTTTAATTTATTTTTGCATTTGATCAAGAGATAAAGAGAAAAAAGTCGTTTTCCGAGACATATGTTCTAACTGATCTGTGACTTCCTGTAATAAATTGAGAAAGTGGTTTTGCCATGCGGCATGCTATCAACGGATGCCAATAATTATCATAGACATGTTTATCTTATCTCAGATATCAAGGAAATAGTCATACGCCATTTTACAGTACGAAAGAAACATCCTTTATGCATGACATATCATAAACTATATTTGTATACTATTTGTCTAATGCTATGCGTAATAGTAATTTGTCATGCAGGGCCACTATTGTACATGCAAACTAAGTTATTCAATGGTGTATGACTGAAAATTGATTTATAAAGCGGATTTAACTGATTGACATATATATCTCATTTTTGTATAAGGAAGCAGTAACTGATTAAAAGTTCCGAGTATATAAAGTGAAGCAAAATCCTTCACGTTAAGTTGGAGTCAGTTAAGTCCAATACGATAGAAATGTGCTTTAAAAATGAAAATTGAAAAGCTTCATTTTTTAAATATCTCGCGTCAAATTAGAACAACTTCTTGTTTAATATGTAAACTGTGTTTAAAACAGTGGTAGTTTGTCGTTAGGTAATCTTCTCTGGTGTCATGTAACTACTTTCAAAATTCTGAAGGGAAATTAATCAAAGTTCTTCAAAACACTTCAAATAATTGTACATGAACATTTCAATACATGCTCGCCAAATCATTTTCCAAGACCAGCAAGACAGTAATCAGTTGGATGTTACTGAAATATAATTTATTGCAGCTAAATGTATCTAAATTCAATTTGTATAAAAACTCTGTTCGAGTGAAAAAAAGATTGAAATATTTTTACCACATGGAAAGAAAGTCCTTGCTATATATGTATTCTCATTTTCAAAAAGTTAACTTTTAAATTTAAGTAACCTACCTTTTCACAAGGGAGTTATAGGTTTTACCTTTGTCCGTCTGTCCGTCAATCGTCTGTCCGCTCGCGAAAACTGGATGTTACTAAGAACACGATTAGATTTAAATAAGACGATTATACATGCTATTGCAGTTGGTTCTCCGTTGAGATATTTAGTTGCTATGACAACATATGAACTTGAAAAATTGCAAAAATTGTGATAGAGGTTTGAAACACAATAGATATCTATTTCACTTGCTTCATGTTTTGATACAAGATCACAGTTCCCATGAGTTTCAAATTTAAACAATTATCTCATTTTTTCCATGAAAATGTTTCGAAAATATAAATTTCCTTCCAGAACTTTTTATGCAATTAATTTTTTATTACAACGTATGTATTCAATTAAAACAATACGTTAGGAAAACACATGTAAATTTTTCGAAAATATTTTCAGCAGAACATTAGATTTACATATATTTGTTATTTTATGTTATTTTATCTCGAATGCATGGGGTCGCCTTTTCATGTGATAATACCTCTTAAAGGCAAAATAATGACAAAATTATTAAAATGATCTTATGTTCTCAAATCACGCTAAAGTGTCATTTCTTAGTCCCAGCATGAATTTGTGTATCAATTTTATATATGTTGGGTTGAAGCGTATATATGTCTATATATGCTGAACGAAATTTAGGAGAATCACTGAGTAGTATTAAAAAAAGTAATGAGACTTGAACAAACCCTGGAAGTTACAATAACAGATATTGTGAATATTGTATGATTAAATTAAATCTAAGTGATTCATTTGAAATGTTACCAGATATCACTTTGAAAACTATTGTGAAACCTTAATGCTCTAACATGACCCACGTGATTCAAGATAGGAAACCAACATTTTATTCTTTATAAGGAGAAATGTTTTGTTTCTTTTAATGCCTAGTGTATTCATTTTGGGTGCATTTACAGAACACTGAAACTAAGAAATAAACATTGTGCCTGTGTCTCATTTTATAGAACACACAAAACAACAAATTTAAACATATTGTAAGCTCGATTTGATTGAGGCTGAGCCAGTTGCAAGCTTGTCCAGCCCTCCAACGGATTACATGCTTAAAATATTCAATATCTAAAGCTCAC